GTTTAGGGTTTAGGGTTTTGGAGGAACTACACGACATACACTAGTGACTGCGCAGGCTTCTTCTAAGAACACCTAAATCCTGCACTTTGTTTTCCTGTGCTACTAGACCATACTATACGATACTATATTACATTGTATGCCCCGGGAGACTTTTAAGCCTTAATGATTAGAATACGGTGTAAGGGTATTTTAAACAGTCATTATAATAAGGAACCCCCAAAANNTATAGGTAATTTATTTAGGCCCCTACGTTACATCCCAAAAGCCAGGGGAGCCCAAGCTTGCTGCGGATTCCTTATGCCTCAACCGAACTCCATGAACAGACCCTTGGAAGCCTTTCTTGGGAGCACTTCGTTACATTGACTTCATACGTGGTATTTTGGGGTCCTTATAATAAGGATCCTACTACTTAGAGAGTACTATAACCCTGGCTATCTTCGGAAACCCCATATAAAATTTGTATGGGCTTCGACGGGTTTTGTTTTGCTAGGGTTTCCAGCAACAAGTCTTATAGGGCTTTACAAGCTATAGGGTTGCGGCATTTGGGGCTCGGAGATCTGAGGTTTGGTAATTCCGAAGTTGATATAGGCTTTAGAGCTAAGCCTTCGTTAAGCCTTGCAAAGCTTCGCACGTCAAAGCCCTGAATCCTAATCTCCTAAACCCTAAAGCCTGAACCCNNCCCCTAAACCCTAAATTCTAACCCCCGAATCCTAAAAACTCAGCCCCGAACCCTTACCGTCACCTTGCAGTACCCAAAGTAGTAACCCTAAACCCTAGGCCCGCAGCCCTAAGCCCTACCTTAAGGTTAAGATCTATTGAGTTCGGCTGCACGGGATTTTGCAGCATAGCGGCCATAGAGCCCGTGGCGAAGGGTGCCGAAAACGGCCTGCCCCAAGAAGGAGGGACCCTAGAAAGGTTGCTGTACAAAACGGTTACTGCAGATTTTGGGTTAGTACATGTCGGTACCATAATGAGAGGACCCTGAAGCCAGAGCTTTAAGAGTCTGGGCAGCAACAACAACAGCAACAGCGACAACGGCAGCGCAGCAGCAAAAGCCACAATCACAAAAAGCAGCAAGGGCTGCAGCAATCTACACAAACAGCGGCTGCAGCAACAGAAACAGCAACAGCAAC